AATTTCTAACAAAATGTTCATGCATGTTGGTTGGATTCAACCGGGAATTTATCATTGAATAAAATTAATTTTCGTCATGGCAATTAGCAAGCATTCGGATGCCATTTAATTAAAGTTGTTCGGGTGGTTTTTTAGCAAAGCTTTTAAATAATTAAAATTTGAAAGAAAAAAAACAGTACATGTTCAACATTTGATAATGAAACTAAATTAATAATTAAATATTAGATAAACTAATATAATGAGATTTATTAATTGATCGAGTGGTAAGGAATGTTCATGATATCTTACTTTATATAAATTCGAATCTCGACATTTACCTTAAAAATATAATATCAATCTTTTTTAACCATCGAGGATGCACACATCATGTAGATGCAGATGCTTAAACTCAAGATCACTAAAAATAACAACACTTCATTCCAACACTGAGTTTATTTGTGTGATATTTTTAGTAGTTATAATTTTTATGCTATTAAAAATATTTGCGTTATATAATTATAAAAACAAATAAAATCTAGGGAAGGCTAACGTTTAAAAAGGGCAAAAGTGCCCAAATAATGATGCTGGGAATGTTTAATTCCCAAAATAAGAATGTCAGTTGATTATCTCCCCAAATGGGGTGAATGCTACATGGTTACATGCATTGCTTTGGATCTCTCGGCGACTTTAGGGGTGTTGGATTCGTTCAAGGATCTCGGTGTCTTCAACTTTGCTGCGAAACTAAAACTGCCCCTACTGCATTTGCGAGTTGCGACAGTGCTGTTGCATGAGGTGTTGCTGCTGTTGCATGTGGGAGCTCTGCATGTGGGTCTGGACGTGGGAAATCACAGGGGTGAGCAGAGAAAGTTGTTGTTGCATGTGCAGCATTCTTTGCGGACTCAACTCCCCATAGCTTTGGATTCTTCAACAGTTGAGACAAAATCAATGGACCTGCCAAAACAACAGCTCCACCAACCACAACCGTGGGATTCCAATTGCAAAACCGAGGACAGAATAAAGGATCCAACTTGGATCTATTTCCAATGAGGAAGGGGACCCTATAGTTTGCTGCAAGGCTTCCTCGTACGATAAAGCTTCGACGAAACCAGTAGGGAGAACTGATGACAGTAGCAGTAGACCCCCATGCAAGCTTCTAGGTGATTGGGTCTTGATAAAAGCTGGTTTGAACGGTGAAGCAATGGAGAGCAATAGTGGTTGTCTGGTTTTTGTTCTTCTGTCAGAGAATGAAGAGGGGTGTCGAGCTTGGAGTTGCTCCAATGGGGTCCTCATTTCATAATTTGTAGAATTGGTCGGTCGGATGACAAAGGCTTAGCTTTGGGATGAGGTATTTGGTTGCTGTAGTTTGAATGCTGAAATGAGATATGATATCTGTTGCATGTGCCAGGGGTGAGCAGCTGTTGCTGCCGAGCATTCCCTGCATGGAAGACCGCCTAGCATTCCGTATTCCCATGCTTAAAGACGCCAAGCATTCTCTGCATGGAAGAAGCCGAGATATCCACCTGCATGGAAAATTTTGTGTTGAAGACGTCGAGAGATCCTTGAACGAATCCAACACCCCTGAAGAAGCCGAGATATCCAAAGTAATACATCCAACCCTGTAACATTCATACCATTTAGAGAAATAATCGACTGACATCCTTAGTTTGGGAATTAAACATTCCCATCAGCCTTATTTGGTCATTTTTGCCGTTTCAAAAGACTAACCAATCTATTTTCCTAATAGTTCAGATACAAAAAAATTAAAAATATTCCCTTGTTTTTAGACAACACATTTTCTATGGCAATATTTTGTTCTTTTTTACATATAAATAATTTAAAGAAAAAAAAAGCAAGAAAATGATTTATGAGCACACAATAAAGGCAAACCAAACCACTGTTTCACCACATAAATAAGAAGCAACAACGACATGATCATCCAATATTGTCCCCACAATTCAATAAATAGAAAAGGAAAAAAATCCTACAACCCGACAACTCACCATTCCGTCACCTCTTCCTATAAAGAACCACCCAAAAAAAAGGTATAATCTCAAAATTGTCTCCAATTTTCATCAAAATAATCATTTTAGTCCTTATTCTTATTTTTAGGATTTTAACTCTCAATATTTCACTTTAAGACAAAAGATCCATAATATTTTTAAAATATTTTGATATTTAATATATTATTTTAAGATTAAAAAATCTCATCTTTGAAGTATTGACCATTTATTAAATAACCGTTTTTATTTATAAAGATACTCTTTTTACTCCAGAATTAAGCCCAAATTGTTTCATAAAAATATAGGGTTAAAATGATCATTTTGATAAAAATTGGTGACTAATTCTGACATTATTCCAACAATAAAACCCACCTTTCACTTAACGGTTTCCATTACAGCAACCCATCCTCTTTTTAGTTGGGACCCACCTGAGGTATTGTGGGACCCAATAACACAAACGAGGAAGATTAAGGAAACTAACCCGAAAACCCGACCCGGACCCATCTCCCCAACTTTTTTTTTCCTCGCCATTTCTCTCATTTCCGCCTATATATCTCCATTTCCCTTGTTCTCCATTTTATCGGCACAATTAAATCTCAGCAGAGCAGAAAAACAGAAAAAAAGGGAAGGGATTTTCAAGTGTTTAATTTAAGAAAATTTTCCCAAAATTCCTTCCTTTTTCGCCTTTGATTTTCCCCTTAACAAGAGATCGTAAAATTTCCAAGGGTCCCCTTTTGAATTTTGTGTATATTTGTTTATATAAATCTCAGATTGTTTTTTTTTCCATCGGTGGTGTTTGGGATTAATTAATATGGGGACTGAAGTTTTACGGCCTCAGGATTGTTTGAGCGAACGTATCCGCGTACCGCCGACGGTATGTCCTCGCCGGAGATACGGAAACGGTACCTTTAATCCTGGTTATTATTATGCCAATAACAATAACGATGGAAACGTTAGATTCATCAAGAAACCCGCTCAGAAGAAGCGGATCGGACCGGAGCAGCAAGTTTCGAAGAAATATGACTCTACCGATGACCTGAAGACGGTGAGGAACAATGCTATGATGGAGAAGGTTACGATTTTGAGACGAGGTGAGTCGTTGGATACGAAGATCAAGAGCATCGACGGTGTTGGTTGAAGGGAAGACGGTTTGGTTGTTACCGGTACCGATCGGTTGGGCCGGAGCCGGAAATGGTCCCGAAACAGATCAAAGTTGTTGATATCAAGTCATCTGTGATGGAAAAATCTGACTTGTATGCTGGATCTGCTTTCTTCGTCTCTCCGGCGCCGAGTTCTCTTCCTTTGCCTTCTTTCTCAAAGAAGAAAGAGGTTCCGGTCGATGAATTAGCTACCAAGGGTCTCCGGCGGTTGCTTCAGCTGGATCTCTGAGATCGATCCCTTACCCGAGTTAGATTCGGATCCGAATAAGCTTTCTTCTCTTTCTCTTGTTTATCCGTTGACCGTTCGTCTCTATTTAGTCATCTCCGGGATTTTCAAGATCTGATACCCTCCGTGATATTTTTTCAAGACGGTGGACGGATTTGAAAATCTGGGAAAATATTAGGGGCGGCTAGATAATATTTTAACGTGTTAAAAGAGTACGGGGCTTCTTAAAGAAGCAAGAAAAACGAGGGGGGGGGGGTTGGTCTGTAATATTAGGGGAATAGTGGGCGTCAGTTGAATTTTCAAATCTTTGGATGTGAAAATGCATTTTCTGTTCCGCTGTGAACAAAAAGTTTGTAAGAGATTTGCAATTTAGTCCCTTTGATGTAAAGATAAGATAAAATTAGGGAGAAATATGAGCAGATTTCTATTATTATTATTATTATAAACTTCTCCAACTTTTTGTTTGTAAAGCAGCAAGGGTTTCTTGTGTTGAAATTTCTTTTTTTTCTTCCACTAGTTAATCAGATTTCTTGTTTTAAATTAGAAATATTAATTTATGAAATTAATAATTTATTTATTAAAGTATATATTTTGGTGCAATTAATTTATTAAATATCGATGGCATAGTTGTGGAAGGAGAACCTGAAATTGTGTTGGGGACGAAAACTGAAGAGAAAATAGGTGGAAAAGTTGAGTGCAAATGCAATGTTTTGTAAAGAAATGGTATTAGTTCAAATTGGCTTTGATAAGTCAGTCTTAACTCTCTTCCTAATTTCCTTTAGAAAAGGGTATTCCATAGGAAAAGGAATATTTTTTATTTTTCCATTGGACACTCCACATATTCCTTACTTTTCCCTCTATTTAATATAACTTTATATTTATTTATAGTTTCATTGGAAAATAGAGAAATTTAATTTTTTTTGTCAGGAAGGTAACTAATATTCAATTTTATTATCATTTTAAGGGTGAGTCATTTTAACTTTTAATTTTTTTGTCAAATTAAACGAATTGATACAGAATACAATAGACATATTAGACTGGCATTATCTATTATCTATTTTTATTATTTTTTATATTTTTAAACAATTTTTATAATTTTTTTAAATGTTTATTTTTATTATTTATAATTTTTGTCCAAAAGAATAAAACAATGAATATTAACATTAATATTGATAAAATAATAAAATAACTAATATTAATTTAATAAAATTATAATTTTTCCGTCAAAGGATTAAATTCAGTAAAAGGTAAATATTCATAAAAATCAAGTAAAAAATTTTAAAAATTAAAAATGCTATTTTCGAAAAGACTCCCAATGCTTAAATCTGTGTCTTGAAATGTCAACGCGAAGCATTCAGCAGTTAGTTCCTGTTGGATAAATTTTAAAAATAAGCATTCTGATTGGGAATAGATTATTATAAAACAGTATAAATAAGACAAATACATGAATCTTAATATTCCGTTTTCAGCTCCCAAGATAACAAGTGGTTAAGGGTACTCAAGAAACAACAAATTTTATTATTAATATATAACCCATCCTGAAACAACAAAAGATAACATGCTGTTAAGGCATGAATCTTAAATTTTATTTATGTTCACATACGAATACGAAAAAGTTCTATTATTAATATATAACCCATCCTGAAACAACCAATTTTACAACTAATCGAGGAAGGGGTAAGGGTTTCCACACAAAAGATTCAAACTTCAGATATAATATCAATCGAATTAAAACTCACGTGAATCGGAAAGTACGTTAGAGATTATAAATGCCAATAAAAGGCGTCATAACTGATCCAATCCACAGCTCCCCTTCCTTCTCTTCAACTTCACTAATAAACCTCAAGGTCTTGCCTTGTGTGTATCTTCAAGAACTTGAAGCACTTCACCATTTTCACTCAGCTTTACAGCAATGCCATGGGGTTTCCCTCCTACAAACAGTGAGTGCAGTTGTTTGAAACCAAGCGGAACCTTTAACCATGCTCTCCCGAACCACCCGTACGACAATGCCAACTTAGCAAAGAGTCCCCTTTTCGAATGCAAAGCTACCCAAAACTCCCCTTTCGTATTTCTTCTTATGTTATCCGGGAATCCCGGAAGCTCTGCGAAAACATCGACGTTTCCCGCATTAGGACCACGAAGCCATAGTCTTAGAATGCGACAAGCGGCGGTTTCTGCAACGAGTAGAAAGGATCGATCCTCGCTCAGTGCGACACCGTTGGCGAAAGCTAGGTCTCGTAGTAAAACCTTCACTTCCTTGCCTGATTTGTTGCATTTCAGCAGCCTGCCGGTTTTGTCATGGCTGAGGATTGATGGCAAGAATTGCCTGCAAAAAGAATTAAACAATCTTTGAGGGATCCCTTTGCTTGTTCTTTCTCTCTTCCTAGGAAGACCAAATGTACGACATATGTGAAGATCAACACTAACACTGTTATGTCTTATTACACATCGGAAATCTCCAAGAGCATCTATGTAATTTATTTTATGCAAATCATTTTTCAGTAAATCAATTACAGTGTATCAAACACTAACACTGCAAAAAATATTGACTTTCACCCTACTTCTTTGAATAGTACTGAAGAACCTTGCAATATTTTCCTTTTTAGAAATCCTTAGAATTAAAAGTCGGAAGCACAATTAAACCGAAGGAAAATAAGGTCTATGAAGCAACTAATCTGCAAGTATTGGAGAAAATACTTTCTTCAACACCTTCAATATGGTATATTGAAAGAATAGAGGACCTAAATTCTTGGAAATTGGAATTAACTATAGAGGGCTACTTTTCAACCGTTCAAATACTATAGGGACTAGAAGAATAATTCAATGATAGAAAATAAGGCAGATGAGGCAACTGATCTGCAAGTATTGAACTTATATACTTCAATATGTCATCTTAAAAGTACTTTTCTAAAGTCAGACCGTTTTGGTCATATAAAGATCAAAGAATGAACTTCTGTTCAAATTCTAACAACTTTTGCATCCAATAATATAAAGGCAAGGGACGGTTATGGGATCAGCTCACCTTCTCCGGAAGCTAGCACTGCTATCGGTGAAGTAAATGACATCGTCGATCTCATCAATGTCCATATCATTGGTGAAGTAAAGGGGTTGGTCCTCAACTTCAGTGATGAGTTGAGTAGCCAAGCCACCCACAGGACCTACTACATGGAAGCCGAAGTAGGCGTCTGCAATGTAAAGATCGCCGGTTTTCTTGTCGAATCGTAGTCCTAACGGCCTTCCACATATATGCTCCGTTTCTGGTGCGAATGGCCGAACACAATCCTCCCTTGAAAATAAGGATTTAACATAAACAAATTACTCGAGAAAAGGGCAAACCAATATCTACAGTATTCACAATGGTAAACATATTGCTAATGTGATTCTTCAAAGCCACTGAAATTAAAAACTTTGAGAAGTAACAATATTAAGGTAAAATATCAAGTACAACATGTTAAATTAGCCAATATGAGTTCAGGAACAAATCAAAACCAGTATAATATACATATAGGGATTTAAATAGTGGCTCGTTATCAGAATATAAACTGTTATATAGTAGCAACGGTGCCGTTCGAAACAATTATTGTATGATCGTGATGCCCGCAATAACACCTACTATGTTTGAATCGTAATAAATGCAACGAAATTGAAAAAGCAACTGTAACCGGAAAAAAAATCCCTACCTATTCTATCACCCAACAACATATATACAACGAATAAAATCAATAGACAACCCAACAAAATAACTTCCGGAATAGGTCAACGCGCATCCTACAGACAAGGCTGCTGCAGATTATACCTGCGAGCAGAGATGAAGGCAAAATCAGTCCAACCGAGGGCATGACCTTGCCATTTAAGAATCCGGCCATCAGCAACGCCTGTGTAGGGGCCATGTCCGTGGGGATCGAAGGCGAGGCTCTCGGGTCCAAAAGCAGAAGGGAGGTGGATGGTTTGGGCGTTATGAAGGAGGGTGTTGGAGGCTGGAACCTCAGGTGGAGCCAAGATGTTGGGAGATAGGATGAGGGACAGCAATGCTACTAACGCTGTCAACAGCGTTAGTTTCACTATACTGCTGCTCATCAGATGGTTTTGTTTTAGGTGGATAAGTTGTAGGCAATGGCAGTGAAGACTTGCACTCTGTCAACACAAGTGGTGGTGCTCCTTACAATTGCAATATTTCATTGGGTAAATTGTACGTTTAATATCTAAATATCACTTTTGTTCCTTTTTGGTCACTCAAATATTTTTTATTTCAAAATCATACGTAACGTTACATTTTGGTTTCATTTTATTTACCCACAATTAAAAATTTAACAATAATAATAACGTGTCACCATAATATAAATTAGTTGACCCTTATTCCCATATGTAATGGGGTAAGGGGAGGTAAGATAGTAGACTGCCCCTAATGCCAGGTTGAGAGCAGCTTCCGTGGGAGACCTCCGAATTATGAATTGCCCACCGTGGGACTCGATCCCACGACCACAAGGTTAAGAGTCTTGTGCTCTACCAACTGAGCTAGTTGGACAATATATTGTTATATTATCATTAAAAAATTTAAAAATTCCATTTCACATTTCTGTTAGTTTTTTTAGGGCGAGTGATTAAAACGAAATTAAAATAGAAAGTTAAACATGATTTTGAGAAAAGATATAGTTAAATGCCAAAAAGGAATAAAAGTGATAATTGGGTTACTAAATGTATAGTTTACCCTTTTTAATTTGAGAAAACAATGTGACTTAGATATGGTATTTATGCATTTTAAGTTCAAATTGTTTGGATTTCACACTGAATTATTTATACATTTGTCACTAAGATATGGTATTTAGGAAATTAATTATTTTATAAGATAGTTATTTTATAACTTGAAGTTGAGATTAAATTTTTTCAAGTCGAGTCGATTTTATAAAATTTGAGTTAATTTTTTAAATTTTAAATTTAATTGTAAACATTTATAATATTACAATATAATTTGATTCGAGTTTAAATATTTTTTATAACAATATAAAATACATTTATATTTCTTTATATATTTTTTATATGTAATATACATATATCATACATAGTTGAGGGACTCAACTCAAACTTGAAAATCAATCAACTAATTACTAAATTTTTTGACTTATTCGAGTTACTATTCGATGTGTTTGAGTTGTATTTTACAACTCGATTTGAACTTGAAATTTTTAAAAATCGAGTTTATAAAACTATAACTCGAAGTCAACTCGAACCGGGTCAATTTTTGCTCACCCCTAATCATAATAATAGAAAGTTGTGACTTATATACACAAAATAATGTAGTTGAAATAATGATACAAAAGTATGAGAGTGGAATGAATTTTTCTCGTGCTTATAAAAGTTTGAAGCAAGATATTGCCATTTATAGTATGAGAAAATAACTTGAGTAACCGAAAATGCTTTATAATATACGATTTTAACCAACTTTTTTTGGATTTGCAAAAATAACCAACAAATTCGCAACGCGAACTCCAATTTCGCAACACAGAATTTGGAATTCGCAACTCGATTTTGACAATTTCGCAACACAGTTTCCAAATTCGCAACACATAAGTCAAATTTGCAACTCGATTTTGACAATTTTGCAACACGAAGTTCTTTTTCGCAACACTATTTTTAATTTCGCAACTCGATTTTTGAATTCGCAACACGAATTTATTCTCCACAACTAGATTTTCTTTTTCACAACACGAATTTATTTTTCGCAACACGAATTTATTTTTCGCAACACGAATTTCTTTTTCGCAACTCGATTTTCTTTTTCGCAACACAAATTTTTTGGGTATATAAACTACGCAACATCAACAACTCATAATCTAAATCCCTAAATCGCAACTCAGTCTATCTCCATCTCTCACTCACTCCGGCGACATCCGTTCCTATATCCGACGACATCCTTCCCCATTTCTAATTTTTTTTACCATAATTTTATTTTTATATAATTTTTCAATGATTTCTTTCCCAAATTATCATGTATCAACTTAATAAAGGTATGTTTTTCTCTAACTTAGTGATGATATCTAGTTTATAACTCGTTTGTTTAGTAAATCAATTTACAATTTGTAGAATGAAATCATCTAATGTTGATCATGTTTGGATAGCTTTGTGTTATGGAGGGTCATGGGATAATGCTAATGATGTTTTACAATATATGTCTTTACCCATGAATCTTCAACTAAAACTGTCATTAAATTTGTTAACTTTTGAAACTCTAATGTTACGTGTTTCAAAGAAATTGAATTTAGAGCCTCTAAGTGGATTTATGCTATCTTATCAGAGAAAATGTAAAGTTTATTTGTTAACCGATAATGAAGATGTTGAATGATTCATTACTTACATTAGTGTTTCACAAGATGATGTTACATTGTATGTTGTTGAACCTAGAAGTAGTGAAGTTAGGTCAGTAACGGGTAATAATCAACTAAGTTATTCAACCCTAGTTTATGGTGCTCACAATGTATAACGTTTTTATCAACCTCAAAATTTCGTGGTTCCACCACAATTTCATCACCAAGAAAATTTTGTTTCACCACATTTCCCATACCAAACACAATATCAAACACAATCTCAAAATCCACAACTTTTCCTTAATCCAAATCCCAATCAACTTTCAGCACCAAATTTCGATTTTCGTATTTACCAGTAAGACGATGATGAGCCAACAGAAAAAACTGTGAGTACTAGTCAGTATTCGAAATTTGATCTTGGTCAATACCCGGACTTTGATCTTGGTCAATACTCGAATTTTGATTATGTTTCAAAATAAGAAACAGACCCTGCTTGTAATGATTTTGATATTGGTCAATATCCGCATTTTGATGATGAAACAGCCGCTGCCGAGGAAGATGTTGTTGATGATAATGAGGAGGAAGTTACGACTATGAATGAACATGTTGAACATCTATTCTGTAATTCATATAACCCTGAAGAAGAAAAAGAAGAAGAATAAGTCCCCGAAGAAAAGAAGAAGAAAGAGCCACAATAGTATAACTGGAATATTCCAGAATTACTTCAGATACTGGAAGAAGAGTTGGTAAAGATAACAGTTGATTATTACACAAAAGTTATTCGTATCAAGAAATATGATTTTTTTATACAAAGGAAGACTTGAAGATATCTTTGTATACGAAATGTGTGGAAGATGTATATCAACTAAAAGTTAACAAATCAAGCAAAGAAAGATTGTTTCGAAACAAAGTGTATGATTGACAAAAACTGTACGTGGCGTATGATTGCAAAGAGTATAAAAGATTGCGAAATGTTTCAAGTTAGGACTTTTATTGATAAATATACATGTTCAAGAACCCAAGTTTTTCCTCATCATAGACAGACAAACAAAAAGGTGTTGGGTGGTTTTCTGGCTGAGTTAATGTTTTTGAATGGCATGGTATATCGGGGACATGAAATTATGACTGACATGAATGCTCGGTTCAAGATTAGTATCTCATATTCTCAAGCTTGGAGAGCCAAATGTTATGCATTTGAATTGTTGAGGGGGTCGCCAGAAGCATCGTTTTCCCAACTGTCGACTTATTGTCACAATTTAAAGCTGAAAAATCCTAGGTCGATAACTCATATAAAAACATATAGAGATGGACGTTTTGAGTTGATGTTTATCGCCATTGGTGCTGCGGTTAGTAAATCAATATAATTTTATTAACTCATTTTTGTTAGTTACATGCATTTCACATTTAAATGATTATATTTTTTGTGTATATTATTTTATAGATTCGTTCGTTTATTACTTGCATGCGCCCAGTTATTATAGTTGACGGAGCACATTTGAAAGATCGATACCTTGGAGTAAACTTATTAGCAGTAGCCATGGATGCTAACAATGGGATATTGCCAATAGCTTATAGGGTTGGCAAATATGAAACCTCTGATTCATGGACATGGTTTATGAGGCAGCTTAGGGATTACATATGTCCTATTAACAATCTGACAATCATATCCGATAGGGCAAACTCAATTGACAATGCTATTAGAAGGTGTTTCCCAGATGTTTTTCATGGACTTTGTGGTGTTCATTTGTACATAAATCTAAAATCAAGGTCTGCTGGTATAAAAAAATCACAAATGGACATACTGGAATGCTGTAAAAGCTTATCGGAAAGTGGATTTTAATAAGCATATAAATTATTTAAGACATGTTTTGCCTCAATGTGCTCAAACACTAGAAGATGTCTGGTTTGAAAGATGGTAAAGAGTACATAAACTTGGAGCAAGATATGGTTTCATGACGTCTAATAGTGCAGAATCAATCAACGCTCTAAGTCGTCATTCCTGAAAATTACTCATTACTATGTTAATGGAGTTTTTTTGAGCCTCTATTCAACAGTGGTACTATAAAAAGAAACCATGCAAGTATTATTTCTTTAAATTCGTAACTTATCATATTTAATAGATTTTACTAAGTATTATTTATTTAAATTTACAGGAACATTGGAATGTCGTGTTGCACCATGGACTGAAAAAAAGATAACGAAACGTGTTATGAAGTCAACGTCATGGAGAGTTGAACCATGTTCAAACACTTTGTTTGAAGTTTTGGATAATAACTTAAATGGGCTTGTCGATCTAAATTCAAAGACGTGTAGTTGTATGAAATGACAAACATATGGTTATCCGTGTGGCCATGTTATAAAAGTTGCTCTTCATCTAAACCAAGATGATTCAAGCGCATACGCTATGGATTGCTACACTACAGAAGTATATCGACATATTTATGCCGAGATTGTCTACCCTATTCTACATCATTCTGAGTGAGACATACCAGATGACTTACAAACAGTTTTGCCACCAGTCATGGACAGAAGGCTACCTGGCCGACCGACCAAAAAATCATGATCGTATATCGTCTAAGGGTGAAGAGAATAAGATATCTACATGTAGTTGGTGCAAGGAAATTGGTCATACAAGGTTGACATGTGAATCACTAATGCCATCACAGTCATCTTTTCCTCTACCAAAATATGGATCATCATCAAAATCCAAAGCTCATATGGTGCCAAACAAAAGGAAATCAAAATCAAAATCCCAAACACAACCGCCTTCACCTTTTGGGACTATTAACTTAGGTGATTTTTAAATGCAAACGATGTATT